ATCTAAGACTGCAACACGTTGACATTGGCCTACAACTCGCCTCTCTCCTTCTGGCTCGTAGTGACTTGATCCAACAGGACTTGCCACATGGTGTTCACCTAGCAAAAGAAGAAAGGTATGATCAGAACAAGAGTTACAGAATTGAAAGATAGAAACTTCGGAAGAAAACAAACCTAGACTATGCAACGAGCCATCCAAACCCCTACATCAACTAGGTCTAGGCCGCAATAATACCGCACGTCCTTGGGAAGCAACATGCCCCTTGCCATCTGAAGAGCTATGCACGGGACGAAGCGAGGTATGTCCGAGGTGTGAGGGCTGGCAAAATGTTCCTCCTGGCCAACCTGAGGTTGGAAGGCAACTAGACCCATGGAGTCTCAATCAGTACTCACTGGGTCGTTGCCTCCCTTGAGATCGATGACAGAGGGAGCAAACGACGGCAATCTCACCTCGGCACTGGCCAAGGTACCCTTCATTGATGAACGACGATCGGCCCTTTGCTTCTTCCTTGAAGCTTTCTTCTTAGATGCCGCCAACATCGATTCCATGCTCGCCATATCTGAAAATGGGAAAGAGGAATTAGTCGAGTTAAGAATCATTGAAATACCAAAAACAAATGCAAAGGACTTGAAGGCCAACCTAACTACGTGACTCATGCCAGCTTGTATAAGCATGGGCTTGACCAAAAGAGTTTCTACTAAAACCTTCCGGAGGACAAAATCCTGAACCGCAGCTCGCAACTCCCCATCGAACTCTACGCTAAAACCCCGACACTCCCCCTGCCAGACAGTACTCATGTTCCAGCCACTACTCTTAGAAAGGAAGAAGTATCTACTCTTCCAATCCTTGACCTTGGAGGGAAACTTGGTTAACACCTTATAGCCACCGCAAAAGGGGAGGTAGAAATAGTAAGGGACACCAGGAACTTTCTTCGTAGAGCACAAGCCGAAGAAGATATCTAGATCTAAAGGGAAGCCGCGGTGGTGGCATAAGCAAATAAGTTCTACCAGAATTGGAACTGCATTGGGGTGAAGCTGACCTAAGGAGACACCATAGTACGATAACACCAAAGGAATAAAAGGATGCAGGGGAAATTGGAGGCCGGCAACCAGTGCCTCCTCAAAAACACAGATAGCATCTCGCCCATGACTCCAAGGGTATTTGTCAAGGTTGGGCTGGATACAGTCAAACTTGGTAGGGATTTGGTAAAGACTGTAATGTTCTACAATGTGCTCCCCAGAAAGTGAAGTTGGACAAAAAATGGACTCCGCTAATTGAACTTCTACTCCCAAAAACTCCCCTTGGGAATCCTCTCCCGAGGAGCCCGCCTCTTCGTCCCACCTTTGGTCAGGCGACCTACTTCCCGAGGGATCAAAAGACATCAGTAAAGGGAAGCTACTCATCGGAAAGAAAGACGGAGAAGACTGGCACCGGTGATGGACAGAATCTCAATAGGTGAACCAAAGGCAGTACTTCAACCGAACCTCCTTAGATTGGACACCTCCTCAGAAAATCCAAAAACAATGTAAATGGGGACCTTAGTTGGGACCCCATATTTATATCCCGCTAGGCATAAGGGTGAATTACTGAGATACACTAACATCAGATTGGCGGTTGAGACAAGGGCATCGCACGCGGAAAATTTTGAATTCAAAATTTTGTGCGCCCACTATGCACGCCCCCTTTTTCAAATTTGAAATTTGAAATCCACCACGGTCCCGCCCAATCTCAAACTGGATCAGGAGAGCGAGTCAGGCGACCTTTGAACCAGTTGGACTAATTACCTTACTAAGAGCTACTCCCTTCACCGAGCTAACATAGGCTTGGGAGTGGGGGACAATTGATGAAGGGTAATTTGGTCCTTCGAATCACATCGCGACACGTGGCCTTCAAGCGACAGCGTTGAGTAAGCAAACCAGCTCAGCAACTTGGCCTAAAGCACCTCGCCTAGGCTGACCTCCACCTTGGCCAGGCCGAGCTGACAAGTTTCTCAACTTATGGCGACCTACCTCAGAGACCGACCAAGCTGTAGGAACCTATGACAACCTATTAGGCGAGCCCACTGACTTGTCTCAGAGATACATTACCAACCTGAGATCTCTGGAGCATTAATGCATCGACCGTTAAACCGGCCTACCGCACCTCATGCATCAAAGTTATTCAAACGGACCGTAACCCTTGCATAGATTTCGTAACTGACGTAATAACTCACCCAACCAAGCGGAAACGGCTTCGCGAGAACATGCCACCCATTGTGAGAAGGCTCAAACCACTCTAACACTCTCTCTTGCAGAACAGAACATGTCAGCCATCTACAACTCGGCCTAGCACAACTTGACCCTGACAAAGTCTCATCCAAATCAGCTTTCAAATTACTTGACACCTGAGAACAACCAGATCGCGCTACATCACTTGGTGAGTGACTTACTACTCCTACAAAACAATCAATTATACATGAGATTTCTGATTTTTCACTCTTTGAGAAAAAGAAATAGATTATGAGATTTCTGGTTTCTCACTCTTTGAGAGAAGGAAATAGATGTGCCAACTTTCTTGCTAATGCTGGAATTGATGTTAGATGCCATGCAATATTTGATAATGATTGAGATCTTCTGACTAGTCTTAATAAACTCATGCATGAGGACCCTCTTTTGCGTATTTACTAGATGTATTTGTTTTTTTATTTTGTAATGTGGTTTGCTTGTTTATTTTGGGTGGGCTTCGAAAGAGGTAAGGTGATAGCTCTTTATTTAGGCTTGAGGCAAGGCGAGTTATGTCCTCTCCCGTGATGGATGCAAATGGATCGGATACAATGCAAGGTATATCAAAATCTCATCTAATAGGATCTCACAAATATTGAATCAAATTCAAATCCAATAAAGATGTCAGGTATCTGAATTTTATTTTATCTGATTTAATTTAAAAAATAATAAATTATTAAAAGAAAAAGAAAATATAACTATTTAAATAAAGAAAATTAAAAAAATATAAGTTTTTTCAATTATTTTTGTCATATATATAATTTTTTTATAAAAATGTACAAAAATGCAGTATAAATAATACATTTTTAAATAAATAAAATAATATATATAGATGAAATATCTGAATCCGAAAATCCAACTCCGACGAAATAGGGTGGGACTTTGGATCGGATCGTACCGATCCATTTGCACCCCTTAATCTTCCTTTTGATAATGATGAATAAAATTTATCTGTTCGTCCGTCCTCCATTTAGAGTAAATTTTGGGGTTATAAAATACATATTATTCGTCCAAAGAGAAATCTAATCTCTTCAACATCCTCGAGGTCCGGATGATCAACGCTGATTTTCGGCTATCAGCTCTCATTTTGAGCACTAATTACTGACCGCAAGTCCGCCACTTGTACATCCTCACCTCCCAAATGGAATCATGGTAGGACGTATGTCACAGATTACACGTTGGTCCACTATCATGATGGGCGGTGGGCCCTTAACCTCTGATTGTGACCTGTGAGCAACAGAATGCACCTACTCCCCAGTCCCCGAGTATGGTTCGTTCACCAGACGTTGTTTCTAAACCAAACCAATATTTTAGCAAAATAATAAAAAAATCCTGATTAATTAATAAAATTTGTCGGTGAGAAATGAAAACTAATGAAATTTGTACGGCTGCATGTGGGACGGGAGTGAGACCGGATCTGCTCATTGGGAACATTTCCCGCATTTATTAATTATTATTCACAGGAGATTTCCTAATGCATCGTGATGTGCATGTGAGGCGTCCATTTGTGAGTAACAGATCCCATCTCGTGTATTGAAACCCAGTGTTGGGACCAGGTTCAGATCTAAACTCTCTCCTGAAAGTAAAATGCGTTCGAACACACCGACGTTGCGAGGCGCCCTATGTAAGGAGATCGGTTTCGGGCAAATTTGTATCCACACCATTTTAACAACCTTTTTGTACCTTGCATTGAAAATATTTTCCATAAAATAAAATATACATGTACGGAGATATTTTCAATGTAAGGCAGAAAAAGCTGCCCGAATGGGCCTTGCCCTAATTGAAGCTGACTTGCTATGTGAGGTGCCTTGATGGAAGCCAAGATGGTATACAAAACAAGCAAACACCACCACGAGATGGTTTCTGTAAGGACAAGTCAGTGTTAGCAACGTTACAACCCATTGGTCTCACATCGGTAGTTTGAGATGTTGTTGTGGGGTGTATATATGTTTGGGTTCCCTTTCTTTAACAATTAGCTTTTAGGGGTAAGTTCTTCTAAGGCACATAATAGATGGTATCAAAGCCTATATTATGCTTCGTGATGACATCAGTATTATAGTGTTCGGTCAGACTAGATGGATTAGTGCCAAGCCAGCCTGCGTGAGTGTCGGGACTGTGGAGTATGATGGAATGTTACAACCCATTGGTCCTACATGGATAGTATGGAATGCTTTTGTGGGATGTATGTGTCTGGATTCTCTCTTTAACAATTAGCTCTTAGGGGTGAATTATTCTAAGGCGTATAACACGCACATTTAGAGCAACCCCTTACAACCTTGCATTGGGAATAACTTAAAATAAATCACATAAATACGGACATATTCTCAACGCAAGACTGTAAAAACTGTTGGAACGATCTTTGCGCTGACCGAAGCCGGACTCGGTGGGACGTGCCTGTGAGGTCGGTGTTAGGAGCAGATATGGACTTTCACTACCAACAGCCAGCGCAGGTGAGGTGCGGCTTCCCGTCATGTTCATAAGTGCTGCCCTAACGGCTAACGCGTAGAGTAGTAAGTGGTCAGTAAAGAGGAAGATACATCAGCGTGCGCGAGAGGTATATCACTATATTGTAGTCAAATAAAATCTTCACGATTAAGTTAAGTGTTTAACCAGTTATCAAAAAGGAAAAAAAGGTTGAAGTATGTAAACGGCGCCCGTTCGAAAACCTACGGTGCTATATTATCTCGCAATACATATTATCAAAGTTCTGTTTCTGCCTCTATATATCCGTCCAATAAAAGCGCAGGCACAACGCAAAGACGGCTCCTTTACTCTCTGTTCTCTCCGCTGATCTCTCTCTCGTCTCTCCCAGATCCAAAGTCATCTTCTGCACCTGAAAACCTCTCTCGATAATCAAATACTCAATCCCGCTGCGCCCGATTTACCGGTCAAATATCCGTCCACTCATCGCAAGAGAGTATGTCGTCTCCTCCTCGCGCTACCTTCCCGATCTCAAACCCGCCAACCGTCCCTACAGCCGGCCAATCTCAGCCGCCCATTGCCACACCCGCCTTCCGCGCCTTCATCTCCCGCCTCTCCGAAACCGTCCGCCACGGCCTCTCGCAACGCCGACCTTGGTCCGAGCTTGTCGATCGTTCCGCCTTCTCCCGTCCTGATTCACTAACCGAAGCCGCATCGCGCGCCCGCAAGAACTTCTCCTACTTCCGGATCAACTACGTCACCCTTATCACCGCCGTCCTCGCCCTCTCTCTTCTCTCTCACCCCTTCTCTCTCCTCGTCCTCCTTTGCCTCCTTGCCGCCTGGCTCTTCCTTTATCTCTTCCGTCCATCAGATCCGCCTCTCGTCCTCTTCGGCCGCACTTTTAGCGATCGTGAGACCCTTGGTATCCTGATTGTGCTCACCGCCGTCGTTGTCTTTCTCACCAGCGTTGGGTCGCTCCTCATCTCCGCTCTAATGCTTGGCGTGGCCATAGTGTGCGCTCACGGTGCATTTAGGGTTCCAGAGGATCTATTTCTTGACGACCAAGAGCCTGCCACTGCCGGATTTCTCTCGTTTCTCGGAGGCGCGGCCTCATCTGCCGCCGCCGCCGCTGCGCCTGTTGTTGCCGCTCGCGTCTAAGAGTCTGACATGATCTGATTCACGGTGTCAAGGTTGGTTGGAGCAAGCTGAATTGTTTATTCTTGAGTGGGTTTTTTCCCATTTTCCTCCTTTTAGGTATCAAAACGAAAGATTCATTGCTTCGAAATTTTTTGCCGTACTCGCTTAGGGTTTACTTTTTTCTTCTTCTTTGCCCCTTCTTTTCTTCTCTTCTATATGTAGATCAGATCTCGAACCAGCAATTGTAGAATTGTTTACGTTTTATATTGTGCCTGATATAGAAATTCATGTAATATTTGAAAATGGATCTGAAAACTGCTTATTAGAATTCTATAATGCTGTTTACGACAAATCTTTAGCGATCTGTTATATATCATGTTCATGGAGTCCTTTTGCGTGGTTGGTTAATGACATTTTATCTTTCTTGTATACATTTTGTTTCGGTTAAAATCAATCCATAGCTGCCAACTGATGGTGGCTCAGTTGGTAGGTTCTCTGACTCGTCGGAGTAGAGACCTGGGATCAAATCCCGCTGCCACCAGGGGTTGGGGGGGGTGGGGGTTAAGGGAAAGGGGATGGGTAGCCCCATGAAGCAAAAAAAAAAAGAAAATCAATCCAATGCTTGTGTAAGCTTGTGTAAGCTTTCTCGTCTTCCCTTCTTCCTCTTAGGATTGAGTACGAGAGGGGATCCTGTCTGTTTCCTCTTTTAGATCCCATTGCTTTTCCATCTTCTCTGTATCGGCTGTAGGATATTGGTTCCTTGTTTCATTTGAATTATTTCATTCTTAATCAAGATCTTGGGATGAAAGAAAGACGCATGAGGTTTTCTATACCCCGAAATTGCCGACGGGGCTACTGGTTTTTACTCGCTTTAGAGAAGATCGAGTTTGCAATTACTATGATTTTTACTTTCCCCAACTTTTATTTCCATTTGTTACCTAGGCTTTTTGTTTATGTTCCACGATATGTTTGTTGGCGAGGATTGTGGGTACATTTTGCAAATCAGAAGGGTGATTACATTGTTTTCGGTAATCTCTGTTTATTTGAGCATTGAATATTTGGAGTTAGAGGTGCAGAACATGCATGTCATGGATCTCCAGTTGTTAAGTTGGAAAACAGACGAAACAGACGAAGCGTTCTCTGCGGTTGATCATGTGTAGTCGTCACTCGTAGCCAGCTCTCACACTAACATGAAAATTTTGGCAGAGAAATGATTTTTACAAGGAAACATTCGCACACTTCATTCTTCTTTAAATTTTCAAGCGCAAATTTTTACTAATTTACTAAGTATACCCTATTGTTTGATTATTGTCTAATCGTTAAAATAATAATGGAAGGGCTGAAATGCCCGTTTAGCCCTTAGGTCAAATTGAAAGTTCCTCTGGTTTCTTCATGAAACTGGCCCTCCTAAATTGGTTCCAAAAAAAAAATAAAAAAAAGGCCTGAAAAACTGTATCGATTAGTATGAGAGTATAGGCGTATCAATATTTTTAACCTTGGATCTGATCGGAGAGCTTTGAAAAGATGTAAAACAGCAGCGGCCTCTCTCCTTTGTTTTCTCTTGTCCTGCTGCTGCAAGTTGCAGCGGCGGACTCCTCCACATTTGGCCCCTCTCTCTCCCTCTTTCCCTTGTTTTTTCATCACCATTGCAACACATTTGGCCTTTCTCTCTCTCTCCCTCTCTCTCCATCCCCTTCATTTTTTGGCCCCTGTTTCATCACCACTGCTATTACTGCAAAGCCGTGGACCCCTCCACATCTAACCTCTCTCTTTGTCCATTACTCTCTCTCCCTTACACCCCTGTTTCATCAATGTTGTTGCAGCAGCAGCGGATCCCTTCGCATCCGGCTTCTCAGCGTCTTTCCATTTCCTTCGTTCTCTCTCCCTCTTGCCCTTGTTTTGTTCTTTGAGATGTTTTTTTGTGGGATAAGTCGCTTGGAGGAGGAAGTGGAAAGCAGCATTAAAATCGTAGATGTATGCTATATTTAGACTGATTATTAAATCAGTTAACAAGTTAGATCTAACATTTTTTTTGGGATTTTTGGACTGCAATCCCCCAGAAATCTTTTTTGCAGCCCCATCCTAGTTTACTAGTAGCCTCCCCCCTAAAACCACATCCTGCCTACGAATTTGGCATCAATCCACGGGCAGGATTCTACGTCTCTGTTATAGAATCTACAATTCAAACTATAAGAATGGATAAATAAAAACCTGATTGTATTGCCATTGATTTGTGCAATTCTTTTGTTGAATTTGATTTGTGAAAATTTTATCCCATTTGATAGTTGGACTTGCCCATACATACTAGATGCTCGAGGAAATTAAAATCCTCTTTATTTCTTTGTGTTTTTGTTATTAATGTAAAGAAAAAGAAAGAGTTAGTTTAGATTGTGGTCTCTGTTGCCATCTTTGTGTGAGTTAACTTAGATATCGGAAAGACTTGCTGCCAATCAACCGGTATAATAAAAGAGGTTATCACGCAGCTGATTCTGATTGATTAGCTGTAAGATTTTGTGGTATTATAGTCAGACCCTAGTTAGGGTTTAAAAACAGTTGCGGGTGAACTATCATATGGATGAATAGTTTAATTGTTCTCCCTCTTGCCCCTATTTCATCTGCCAACCCTTTCAGAGAGAAGCAATGAAAAGAGGAAAGGAGGGAAAACTCTTTTTGTTGTCAAGATGAATTTTTTTTTACCCCACAGGGTGGAGCTTTTGGGTTTTCATTGGCAGATTGGTAGGTGTTGAAGACGGTGGAGGAGGAGAGGGAGAGGGATGAAGGGTAAAATTGGGTTTTAAAAAAAATTATGTCACGCGTAACAAATATTAACGGATGTTAATGGTGATGGTAGAGAGCTAGTCAATTGTCATAAATAGTAGGGGTAGCATTAGACAATAGTCAAACAGTAGGGGTATACTTGGTCAATTAACTAAACCATAAGGGTAGTTTAAGAAATTTGCTCAATTTTCAAAATAACTGCTCTATAGACTCTAATTCTATACAAGAAGATAGACTAATACAAGAGCACAAGGTTCTAAGTTCTATGCGTAGAGAAGATCAAAGGAAAATTTTAGGGAAATGGCGATCGAAAGAGTCCTGATTCATCACATTGCTTATCATCACCTTTCAAATCTTCTCATTTTTCAATTTTCAAATCTTTTAAACACTGTAATGAACCAACAGATGATATAGGGTGAAAGTCATTTTTGAGAGTCCGGATCTTCTGCCCACACAAACTCTGCCCACGTTGATCGCAGCCACACATGGAGAACATCTCATCATCTGCATAGTATTATGCAGGGGGAGATGTTCTCAATTCACGGGGGGTAGTGTGTTGTGGGTAGACGTGAACAGGAGATCCGAATTCCATTTTTTTTTTAGAACCATTTTCAAGTAATTCATAATTCGCAAAGCCAAAGAAATCTGTTGGTCAGGCTCAGTTTGGAACGAGTATAAATACAAATATGTATAGTACAAATACGTACAAAATAATACAAAATGCAAGGTTTTACGCTCTACATATTTGTGTTTGTACTCCTTCCAAATGTAACCTTAAACAATATCAACAATGCAAAATTAATAAAAAGATGAAGATTTTTATCTGTTTCTGCTATTCTTTTTCCTATTTCCTATGATGTTTTTTTTCTTTATGTTTCTGTCAGAAAAATCCAAACGACCGAAAAGAACGTCCTAACAGAGAACAGAAAAGGAAAACCCTCCAACCCCAACTAAATTCTCACTAGAATACACTGATTTACTTTCCATTACCATCCATACAAAACTGCTTGAACTGTCACCCAGGTCTTGATTTTGGGTCTCGCATGGTTGAAATTTGCCTTTCAGCATTTGGTTAAAAACTGTTTGCCTTTCAGCATTTGATTGTGGGTTGTACATTTGATGTACGTATAAATTTTTGAAGATCATAATTTGTACTTAGTTGTTTTTTTTGGGTGGATAATTTTTTAAGATCTATGCATCCTAAGTCATGTTATTTTCGCCAAAAAAAACCCTCTTTTGGGTCTCAAATTTAAGTTTTTAATATAAATCAAAAACTAAATTTAAAAATGATTATACACATTATTACATCTCAAAAATAATTATATACTAGCGGGGACTTATTCAATGCATGGGATTTGTTAAGTCAAAGATAAACAATAGAAACATGTAAGAGCATATAATTGTTTTATATAATAATTTATATTTTATATACTACTTTTAATAATTTAAACTTTCTTTAGATAGATGTAGATAAAAGGTGGGGGAGAAGATAAATAAGAATTAGAGATAATTTAGGAGAGAAACTCTCTACTAAATTAGTGATAACTTAGGAGAAAGTTGGGGATAGTGGAGGGATTCCGGATCACCTTCCCATGAGAACTTTGCCCACGTCTACTCACAACACACTACAACACTCGCCAGAGCAACAGCCTCAGAACTTCTGTTCACTTGATTCCTCTGTCGACGATGCTTTTCAATCTCTGGCAGCACTCTTGTGGTTAGAACTTCATACCCTTTGCTGTCTCAGCAGCCTCGTTTTGGGTATTAGGTTCTCTTGTCTCGTCTTCTTTCTCCTCTTTTCCGCATACACTACCACCACCTCCACTACACTATTAATCTCTAAAATGTACCAATGCTTCTCAGTTTGAGAAGAATAATGAGAGTGATGGAGGTGGTAAGGGAAAAGCAATTGAAGGAAAGAGAATATAAGAGGAAGGAGAATAGAAAGAGAGAGACTGTTTGGATTGGTTTTGTCTCTTCATAGAAGACACGGGTTTTGAAGGTTCTGATGTTGAAGAAAGCAGAGCATCAACCACAAAGGATAATATCCAGTTTTAAAAAAGTTTTGTTATGTGGTCACATGTAAACAAATTGTAATGGAACACTAATGGATGCTAACGTAAACGGTAGGATAAGATTTAATCAAATGTCAAAAAGAAATTAGGGGTACTTTGGGGCAATTCTTAAAAAATTAGGGTAAAGTAAATCAATTTTCTAAAATTTAGGAATATTTTAAGAAATTTACAGGTTTCTTTACTATGATTTGGCTAGGCTTGAGCATTGTTCTAAAATAGAGCTTACATACACGGGTTTTCAAGCGATTAAGGAACGTAAATGTTACCAACTCGCCTTGTGAAATCTGAGACCAAGAAAGCAAACAATCAACAAACATAGAGTATGTATTTGATGAAGAGAAATTAATGTGATTTGGTGATAAATTCTCACTCTTCTCAGGTCAGGTCAGGTCAGCTAGATCAGTTTTAACTTTTACCTCACGAGCCACGACCCCGATACCTAATTATTTGGTTTAAAAGAGGTTGTTTTGGACCTTTTGGTCCTCTTGTCCATTAGAGAGGGGAAATGCTTTTGTGATATAAAAGGAAAATATATTAAGCAGAAGGTCCAAAAACTGAGGGGACAACCAACGCCAATCCTTCTCACACTCTTTAGCCCTAGAAGCTACTGAGCCATCCTATTCATCCGTCTAAGAAAATAAAATTAAAAAAATAATAATAATAAAAGGATGCAGAGTTCAAACGACCACAAATAGAGAACATCATCCAACAAAAACAAAAAGTTATAGGTCCATTTAGAGCTGAAACAACCACAAAAGAATCAAAAAGCACCAACAAAGAAGGGAATCCTCATACACACACAAAAGACAATCCAAAACCGACATATGAATTTTAATTACTAGTAGATTTTGAAGATCCACAGAGTCACCCATGATTGAAAAAACGTTCCCAAGGAGCCAAATATAATGACAGATAACAGCGATCCAAATCAGCACAACACTTTTATCCTTTGCCAAACTAAGAGAAGCTCACAACCATTAAATTAAATCCACCACTGAATGATGACTGATGAGAATAAACATCCCTACAAATTTACACCTTTAAAAGCATATCGGTTAAGAATATTAACAAACGATTCAGGGGTTCATGTAGCAATACCATATAGTTGGGATAAGGTTCAGTTGAGTTGTTGTATTTTTTTTTTTTTTTTAAAAAAGTAAATTATTTTATAGGGAATGTGCAATGAATCGTGAGGTTTTGGAGCTGCAAACGGTTCAAATCGAAAAAGGATATAAGTAAATCCGAATTTAAATGGAATCATATCCATCACACTTGCATTGAATTCAGATTGAAACAAATATTGGATAATATTAATAAGTTAAATAAAAATATATTATTAATAATAGAATAAACGAAAAATGACTTTAATATTTAATTTCATGAACCAAATGAATCAAAAATAACATTGAACCTACGACAATTTTTTTACCCTACAACAATACAATAACATCAAGAGGGTAAGGTGGGGTCTCGTGTCATCTCCATCTATGCGAGAACTGCAATAATGGTATGGCTGCATTTGTTTCCAATGCATAAAAACAAGAGAGAATAACCGTTTAGCCCAGGGTCAAAATTCATAGGTCTGAAGTACAATTGGAGTAGGTGCCAGCTCGGAATTGATGTCAATTTACGGGCGGATATGGGTTTTCGACCTTTTAAATGTTTATAGAATTGTATCAGAATTCAGAATTCTGCATTAAATCCATCCGTACTTTTCCATAAAAACAAATATGTAACGTTTAAAAATCTACTCTCACCAGTTCATAAATACAAATCGATTTAATTTTGCACTGATAAATTTTATATTTCAATCAAACGTTTTTTGATTGTAATGACTGATCTCAAGACTGAAATCCACCTTTTTTATGTTAATCAGCTATGAGTGCAAAGTTTGTAATCTAAAAAATTGATACAAACCTTCATGTCATAAAAATTGGGATAACTATTATGTGTACACAAATGTATACTTACCAAAAGCGCTTCCACTTGTATTGTGTATATACTGTTCTTCTACGCCTTTTACTCCCAAATCCCAATGCCTCTCTTCTTTTCGTCCAAAAAATAAAAATAAAAACAAAAACAAAAACAGAACTTCTCTTCTGTGTTCAAGTCTCTACCAATATTTTTTTCTGTACCTGATCCTACTGTCTTAATTTCGTTATCATCCCAATTACTTCGCCAGCAGCTTGAATGGGCCGCGGCCAGTTTTTATAAACTATGCACATCTATTGGCTTGAATCGTGATCATTAGGCCAACCGTATGCAAAAGAACTTCAACGCCAAAACAATTAAATTGAAAACAAAATCATAACCTCTTCCATTAATATCATCATCGTTATCGTCATTGCTGTTATTGTTATTTTATTTCTTGTTTAACCCGATGTATACATTTATCCACATCAGCTTACTTCACCTTCCCAACCCCTTATAATTTTTCATAGTTTTCTGATTAAAAATATAAAAATCAAACATAGGGCTATTTAAATTCACCCACAATCAATACTGTTTCCTTTTCATTAGAACACTGAATGTAATCAAAACATGGGGCTATTTAAAAAATTCACACATCAAGTAACTCACAGTCCATGAATCACTTTAACCTGTCAGATATAATAGTCGATATGTTCACTATCAATAAAAAAGGTACAAGAGAATGTCTACAGCACCTCTCTAGAATTGTTGTCAAATAACCCACAACATATAAACTCTTTCTTACAGACACAAAAGTTGTTTGGCACCGAGGCGTTGCACAAGCGATCCGTTTCTTGGAAAATTAGGAATGCCTCGGAAAAAACAAGCAACCGATTCCACTGAAAGTACAAAAAAAAATCGGGATGTAGGCTGATGGGGCGTTTAAAATAATTTGACTTATTATTATAATATATTTATAATGACAACTGTATGATATCTTAAAAAGAAGTCAGTATTTTCAAATTTAAATATGCCACATCACCTTGGTGAGTTAAGATAGTTATGGCAATTCAAGAAATTTCAATTTGGCATTTCAAAAAACCCCTCCTTTCCTGAATCCTCAGAGTAATCATTGCAAAAAGGTTGTTTTAAGAAACAGAATCTACATCAGTAGAATCGAATCTCTCGTGAAATGCCTCGGTCCCAAGCCCCCTCATAGACTTTTCTCACCTCCACATTGTCACTACAAAACTGGAATAGCATTATGAAGCAAAGCAAACCCTTTATAGGAGAAGAAGAAAGAAGTTTGTAGAGAGAACCACCACACCAAGTGTATCTTGCAAAAACAAAGAACCTCTCTGTCGTTTCTCTTTTTTTTCACTCTCTCCCCACCAAGGATATAACCTTCCTTAGTTCTTGTTGCCAAACAGTTCATGTCCCATGATGTAAGTTATGAAGTATGCATTCCAAAAGTGCCCTTTCAGAGAAAGACAAAGTCACTCGAGTGCAGGAAAATAAAACGGTGGTTTTGTATTGCCCATACAGAGCCATGCCATGGTGATTTGAAGAATTTTGTTTTCACCACTACATCGTGTATTTGAGAAAGCCCTAAACTAAAGGATTCCAATCTCCTCTTCACTGGTCCACAAAACAGAAAGACGATGAAATAAATGCGATGTGAAAATGAGTGAGGTTTTTACATATTCAATGCGATTTAGCATTATAATGACATGCAGAAAACTTGAAAAGGCTCAATTTGTAGGTTCCCACTGTCAACTCCAAGGGTGAGAAGGCTTCGAACAGGCCTTAATACACAGGTACAGACCACCCAAAGCATCTGCACACTCAGGTTTGCTGATGACAACCACAGCTAGAAAATTGGTTTTCTGGTTTGTGAGTTGCAGGAACAGAGGCAGTGATGAATTCGACAATCCGGCAGCCCAGGGAACGGATTTGCCTCAACGATACAGGAAAAAGTGTGGGAAAACGTTGAGTCCTTTCGGAGTAATGCTCCATAGATTCACATTTCACAGCGCCATTCAACCAGATTTCTTGTCTAAGCAAAACAACCCAATCCAGTTCCCATAAGCTTGTTTGAACAAGATAATAGGCCAGTAGAATACGTAAGATTTGGTCTAGTTTCGACTTTCGAAACATCCGTATTATGGTGGATTTCAAATCTAGCACTATAAAAGCATCATACCTCCTGCCTTGCCTTCCAGGGCAAACAGTGTTTGTACCAAGATTCCTGTTCCTTTACAGCAACTTAGGTGATGTTTGGCATTAGTGATAAACTGATGATTTTTCTGAAAATTACTTGCATGTCGGAACTACATCAGTGTTGGAAGAATCGGTGTTAAAATTTCTGATTGGTTTAACCAATTCTAAGACAAAATAATCGACCCTTGAAAATCAGTACCAAACAGATCCAAAATGGCAAAAGATACCAATTTTTTAAAATACACTGATTTCAAAATCTCAGCGATTTTTGAAAAATCCGCAAGGAATGATCATCAAACTTCAGCGTAGTTGTTGTTAGACCACAGTGCGAACAGAATAAAGAAAAGCATGATGGATCTCTCGATATTCCATATTCTAACCAAGTGCTCTCCTTTATTACTATGGAGAAAGGACGTGTCATTAATTCATTATTTCCTATTAGTGTACATAAATGAAATTGAGGGAAAAACTGCATGTAAAAACAAAGAACAAAACCTAAATTTACAATCACACTTTAACTACTCTCTTTTGTGTAACCACTTGTTTCTTCTGCAACATTTGCCCACTCATTGGCTATTTTCTCGGCATACCCCACCTGTAATCAAATAAAAGCATTTTTCATGTTTACATACACCAGTAAAGAACCATATCGAATAAGAACCATAAGAAAACTCCATAAAGAAAGTAAAATATGTGCTGATGTTGAAATTGATCACCACTAGACATAACATTTAGAAGCCATAGAGCAATTTAAAACATGATATATATCTAGTTAATTGGCAAGGATAAGATGAAAAGTATGCAAAGACAGAATTACTCCCGCCTAGTACGATTCTTTTTCTTTTTTTCCTTATCAGTACTCACACAGTCACACCTAGTATGTGTTAGTCTCAACATTTGTCGTGCAAGTCCTAAAATTTGCTGAGAAAAAAGAGGTTAGTAGCAACTTCTTAAATAAAATGGCCCCTCAAGTAGGTCTCAGATTATCAATGTAAAGTAATTTTCATAGGGAAGACTAAACCACCATTATTAGTAGAATATACAATGTTAACATTTGCAATTTCTTATTGATACAATGATAAAATCTAGGGATGATAAGCATGAGGGTGTCATTTTTCTTTTTTTTTCTTCTTTTAAGAATGTCAGCTCAAGAGTGAGAAGGATCACTCTGCTGAAACTGCCAAAGGCTAGGTCCATATCCAACACCTCTCTCTCAAGACCCCAGATAGCTAGGACAGCATTGGGTAATAGCCTTTTTCACAAGTCTCCAGGAGACAACACTACATAATATCCTCATTTGTATTAGGATATACAAGAATATCTTCTAGAATCTACATAAACCGTATGCCCGTCCAATTCTGCAGTGTATATATACAAGTCTGGTGTGAGAATATCATGGGAATATGATGTAATTTAAAAGCCTTCCGCCTATGCAACTCAAACAATGGATTCTCCAGAAATACTGCTGACAAGTGAGCTGAGCAAGCCTAGTTGGCACTTAACACCTCAGGCTTATGACAAGCCTCGTCCTATGGTAATGATTCTGAGACAAGCAGAGCAAAGTTTTGTCAGGTCGGTTCATTGACAGGCCTACTCAACCCCACAAACCACTGATCTCTAGGTTATCAAGTGGTCCATAGGGTCAGATTGGCCCAAGTAAGATTTTTACACTGCTTCGGGCTGGGCCAATTGAAATGTTGACAATAGTCCAGCCCAAGCTGCACACCAACTAACTTATAGTACAATTTTTTGTTTTATTTATTTATTTTTTGAGAAGCACCTAACTTAAAGTAGAATCACACATCAGATTTACTTAGATCATTCCTTTAAGTTGATACAGTTATCAGAATCCTCCAAAAGACACTGTTGTATCTGAAGTTCTCCCTGACAATGCTCCACCAGACGCACCGATATTTTGTTGCACCACCCTTCCATGTTATCTATGCTGTTTTAATGCCTTCAACTTGCATTAAAATTCACTAGTTACTGATGTGGCATCTGTTTAGAGTGGTAGTGTTCTTTGTCTTACGTCATAGAAGTGTGTAAAGATCTTTTGGGCTCTTACTGGCTGGCCTCTTGGGTTTAGGTGTTTTCATTGTATACAATCTGTAGAGGTGGTACTTGTCAATGTTCTCCCTTCCCCCTGCCTTTTTTTTTTTTTTTGAGAAAAAAAGGTAAGTTTTCTGGCTTAATCCCTTTATATGTTTCTTCTTTCTTGTACTTCTTTGACTTCTTTTCAGTGGTTAATGAACCAAGTATGCACGAATGAGGAAAAATGAGAAAGAAAAGCCCAAGGAAGAAAAGAAAAACTTACCAGTGTAGCTATTGGTCCTATGAACATGACAAAAATAGGCCTAAAAGTCTAAAACCTAGCTTGCACTTGAGCTAACATAAAGCCAGTTCAGACCATCCAAATTTAAAAGGAATTTTTTTTTATCAATAACATCAGCTTCATTAAATTAAAAGAAAAGAGGGAATATGGATACAAGAGGGGAGATAAAATATCTTAGCTCCCCAAAAACAGAAAACAAAAGGAGTGCAAAGAGAAAAGATTAAAAACTAGCCCAAAAAACAGACTCCTATTCACTCCTTGCTTGGCCAACCCATCCGCAAATGAGTTGACACTCCTCTTCACCTAGATGTACTGAATCTCAATGTCCCTACCCAGCCATAAGAACTGTTTTTTTTCATTGTTAAAGTTCCACAAACCACTATCCTCTGTCTTCAACCAACTAACCACCACCTTCGAATCACCTTCCAGGATCAAACGGCTGATATTTAATTCCTTTGCTCTTCGAATCCCTTCAAGCGCTACGAGGATCTCAGCCCTAAGAGAGTCACCTTCTCCAATAGGGCTAGAGTATAAAGCAATAACAATCCCTTCCTCATTCCTGAAGACTCCTCCAATCCCAGAGGGCCCTGGATTCCTTACACTGTTGCCATCAAAATTCAGCTTTATAAAGCCCGAGGGGGGAGGGGACCAAAACGGACAAAGAGTCCTCTTGTATCTAGCATTGGAAGCAATCTCTTTCCAGTTTCTTAGCAAGTCATCCATAGGAAAATCTGAAAACAACTCCAAAGATTTTAGCTAGTGGACAGCCCTTAAAAGGATTCTATCTAACAATTCTTCCAATGTTCTTTCCTTGTCAGAAAAAATGCGTGAGTTTCTTTCTTCCCACAATGACCAACATACCGCTGCCCTAATACACCTCCACATAGTCTTCCCTCGCTTCCTAGGCCAACTGAAAAAAAGAGAAAACAAACCTTGGACAGTCTCCGGAGGATACTAGGAACACCCAAAGTGGGAGAAAAGCCACTCTCATACAGTTTTAGCAGCCTTACAAGAGACCATGAGGTGGTAGCCAGATTCCCCATCAGCTTTACAAAGAGCACATCTATTAGGAAGTAGACAATAGTTGGGTCTCTTTCTCTGAAATAAGTCTAAAGTGTTGATTCTTTCTAGAAAAATTTTCCAACAAAAAAAAACCAACCTGAGGAGGAATAGGCCCTGCTCCAAATTTCCTTAACCGGAAAGGACAACCCAAAGGGAATAGGAGACTGAGTTAAGGTTTCAAAGAATGAAGCACAAGAAAAGGTACTAGAGCTAGAAGGGGTCCAAAATCTGGTGTCTTCCTTAGCAGGGTTTAGGAAGACAATCTCAAGGGAGGCTAGCAAAGTTACCAAGCTATTCATGTCTGTATCCCTAATTGGCCTACACAGGCCTAGGTTCCATCCAAAGCCAGAAGTGGAGGCTGAAGGGACCAAGAAAGAAGATATGGGTTCATTTTTCAAGTCTGATAGAGCATACAAGGAAGGAGACTGGTCATTCAGAGGAGAATCCCCGACCCAAAGTTGTTCCCAGAATTTTATTCGGTTACCAGAGTTTAAACCATACCTGATCCAAGGGGAGAAAACTGGAAGCAGATTGTGAATGGATTTCCAAGGAGAAGCAGCTGAGGCCCTTGCCAAGATTCCAGGATCCCAGCCATTGTCTTCCAGCCCATGAATGCTAGCCACAATCTTAGCCCACAATTTATCCCTTTCCAATGAAAATCTCCACAACCATTTCCCCAATAGAGCCATATTCCTTTTCTTGAAATTACCAATCCCAAGACCTCCTAGTTTTTTACACCTAGTGACCACCTCCCAACTCACCCTATGATCTCTCTTCTCCTCTCCAGGCTCCCACAGAAAGTTCCTTATTAATTTTTCCAAAAGATTGGAAACCTTTGAGGGGAACTTAAACACTGACAAATAGTAGACAAGTAGGTTAGCTAGGGTAGACCTAATGAGAGTGACTCTCCCACCTAAAGAAAGATAATTTCTCTTCCAGGCCGCCAGCCTCTTCTCAAACCTCTCCACTACCGGAGTCCAAAAGCTAACACTCTTAGGATTATCTCCTAAAGGGAGGCCCAAGTATGCCAGGGGCCAGTCCGAAATTGCACAATTCCCTTAGGTCCCTTTCATTCACATTCACTCCCACCACACAACTCTTATCAAAGTTCACCTTGAGGTTAGATATCTGCTCAAAGAGTTGTATTGTCAACTTTAGATTTCGGATCCAATTGAAGTTCCCTCCTTCACAGAATAGAATAGTATCATCTGCAAACTGTAGAAGTGTTAAAGGAACCTCCTCCCTTCCTACTCTCCACCCTCTTATCAGATTCCTCGAGTCTGCTCTATGRATCAAWYKCCCAARCACATCAACRRTMAGKGTGAAAAGAAAAGGGGAAAGAGGATCTCCTTGTCTTAGACCTCTCAACGCAGGAAAGAAGTCAACCACAGTCCCGTTCACTATGATAGAATAATGACAAGTCCTAACACAGCCCCAAATCCACTTACACCACCTATATCCAAAACCAAAACTCCTCAACACCTCCATCAAGAAAGACCAATCAAACAAGTCATAAGCCTTCTCCAAATCCAATTTGCAAACCACTCCCTTCTTCTTTGACTTCCTAAAGCTCTCCAAGCTCTCATTTGCAATGAGAATCTGATTGATGATCTGTCTTCCCTCCACAAAAGCACCTTGGTTGGGTGCAATAATAGAGAGAAGCACCTTCTTTATCCTAAGAGACAGCACCTTTGCAATGATTTTGTACAAGCTAATCACCAGACTGATAGGTCTAAAATCCTTTGGTCGTGATGCATCTTTCTTCTTTGGGACCAAAGCAATGAAAGTTAAGTTCAAGCCCGGATTTATTACTCCCCTTTTGTGGAACTCCTCAAAAACTGATCTAAGATCATTCTTCAAAATATCCCAACAGTCCTGGTAGAAGGCCATTGTGAACCCATCTGGACCCGGAGCTTTTGTCCTATCCATTGAGAATACTGCTTCCTTTACCTCCTCCATATCAAAACTTTTTTCTAACC